AGAATACACAGTAAACTACAGGTGAAGTAATAAAACATAGCCAAGAATACACAGTAAACTACAGGTGAAGTAGTGAAAATAGCTTAGGGGGAAAGTAAACTACAGGATAATTTTCAAAAAGCCAAGGTTACAGAGTAAACTACTTCTCTCTCTCTCTCTCTCTCTCTCTCTCTCTCTCTCTCTCTCTCTCTCTCTCTCTCTCTCTCTCTCTCTCTCTCTCTCTCTCTCTCTCTCTCTCTCTCTCTCTCTCTCTCTCAGTATATATATATATATATATATATATATATATATATATATATATATATATATATATATATATAAGAGCTGTACCGAATATTCGCTTCGTATTCGCTTCGGGGCCGAATAGTGGACCTAACAGCTATTCGGTATTCGGCCGAATAGTGGCGGTCGGGCCGAATATGAATAGTGATTTCTGCATACACTGCGATGGACTGAAATAACTCTCTCAATAATAATGTCACAATTTATAGCCGACTTTTCTTGATTTTCGCCGCGGCACCCCTGGCATACGCACCCAGTTTTAGAACCTCTGCTGTAATGCCTCAGAGGAGTCAGCAGGCGCTGTTACCACGCAACCGGGTCGCAGTTTTCCCAGCTACGACAGATTTAGGCAACGCTACTGTTGTGTTAAAGAAGGCATGAAGAAACTTGAAAGTGTCTCTGTGTGTGTGTGTGCGGGTGTATGTGTGTGTGTGTGTGTGTGAGAGAGAGAGAGAGAGAGAGAGAGAGAGAGAGAGAGAGAGAGAGAGAGAGAGAGAGAGAGAGAGAGAGAGAGAGAGAGAGAGCTTGCATTTTTTCGTTCTTTCGGGGTGTCTTTGCCCAAATCAAATTGAAGATATTGCGAACGAGAATATGAAGGTGCATTTAAATTACATCGAACAAACGCCTGAACGAACGATGATTTAAATGCGAATTTGGCACATGGATAAAATCAGATAAAAGATGCATTACTTAAAAAAAAAAATAGGACAGGCAAAAACTGCATTCTATTTTAAAAAAAGAACATCTTATGCAATATATCTTTGTCTTGCTTACTACATACATCCAGTTTTAACATATGGCTATGAGTCCTGGGCAATCGGTAGCCAGGCCAAACCATTTTTTGAGGCCTCAGAGATGTGGTTTTACAGAACAATGCTTAAAATACCTTGGATAGCCTAAAAAAAGCACCCACTAGGTTTTCAAAGAGGCGGGAGCCCGAAGACAACTAATCACAGTCATCAGAAAGAGACAGTCATCATTTTTCGGCCATCTTATAAGAAGAGTGAAAATGGAACATGTGGTGGCCACTGGAAAGATTTGTGGAAGGAGAGATAGAAAAAGACAAGGCAAGGCACCTGATGATGATGATACACTATTCGTATTCGTATTCGGCCGAATAGTTGGTCCCACTATTCGTATTCGGCCGAATAGTGAAAATCACTATTCGGTACAGCCCTAATATATATATATATATATATATATATTATATATATATATATATATATATATATATATATATATATATATATATATATATATATATATTTATAAATATATACTGGATATTCTCTCCAGAATATGCTGGTGTGCTGGGAAATGAGCAGGCAGATAGACTGGCCGGTTCTGCATCACCTGGAGTGAATTTATGTACGACAAGCTAGACGTTTCGAGGGTCCTCTCGGAGTGAGTGAACAGTGCGGAAGCGCAAAAATATCATCACGGTCTGAGGAGATCTGGCCGATGCTCAACACTCAAGGAAAGGGCGACACGGAAATACAATCAGACAGTTACTGGCGCCTTTGGAAGTGGAACTCTTGCTGCTGAAGATGGGAACAGCGCGCTTATAGGGATGCCCTGCGTGCTACGATGTCGATTCTTAATTCAACATTCAACATGCGAAGAGTTCGAATTCCAGTGGCATCAGTAACTGTCTGATCATATATCCGTCTTGCCCTTCCCTTGAGTGTTGAGCGTCGGCTAGATTCCCAGGTAACTTCTCGCCCTCAACTCTGTGCTAGCGAACACTACAAAAGTATAGCATAAGCCCTCTCTGTGATGAACGCCGAGAGCGTGAGATGAGGGCCAGAACTGTTGGGGAAGTATAAAAACAACAAGGACATAAACGTCTGTCCTCTGAAATAAAAACAGGCAGGATGTTTTCCACATTAAAACCCAGACGTGTTTAATTGGATTTCTTTGTTATGTATTTGTGTTTTAACAAAAGACGGGGGGGGGGGGGGCATAAACACAAAAGGAGACAGACTGAGTGAGAGAAACAAATATATAGACAGACAACAGACTGAGTGAGAGAAACAAATATATAGACAGACAACACAGAAACACACACACACACACACAGAGCCAGACAGACAGAAAAAGACACAAGGAGAGGGAAGACGAAACGAGAGAGATAGATATACAAACAGACAACCACAGCAACAGAAAGAATCAAAACTGGGAGAGATAAAAGCGAATGAGAACAACAGATAGACAGACACATATAGAAAGAGTGAGACAGAAGTGTACATAAAACAGACAGATAGAAAAGTTAGAGACAACAGAAGAGTAAGTAAGAGAACAGATGAACAGACACATAAACAGCTAAAGAGAAGAGCACGTTCGATTTTCTGTCACTGTGATTATCGATATATAACTGCAAAAGAAATGAACAGTAGTCATTTGTGACTGCTCAGGGAAAACGAACAATAGGTTTCTCTAGACTGGCAAATCAAGCGAATAATGGCCCGGACCTAAAGAAGATCACCACATCATTCAGCACGTAAGCAAAGAGTGTCACTTTATCTTTAAGTAGTCACTAAGTAGGACGTTCTGAATCATATACTGCCACAGTAAGAGAGACGATTTATATCTGATCTGAGAATAAAAGGTTGATGCATTACAATCAACAAAATTGGACGTCCATTTTGCAATTTCTTCTTCTTCTTCTTCTTCTTCTTCTTCTTCTTCTTCTTCTTCTTCTTCTTTTTCCTCTTCTTCTTCTTCTTCTTTTTTTCTTTTTCTTCTTCTTCGTTTTCTTTTTCTTCTTCTTTTCTTCTTCTTTTTCTTTCTTTCTTCCTCTTCTTCTTTTTCTTTTTCTTCTTCTTCGTTTTCTTTTTCTTCTTCTTTTCTTCTTCTTTTTCTTTCTTTCTTCCTCTTCTTCTTTTTCTTTTTCTTTCTTTCTTTCTTTCTTTCTTTCTTTCTTTTCTTTTCTTTCTTTTCTTTCTTTTTCTTTCTTTCTTTCTTTCTTTCTTTCTTTCTTTCTTTCTTTTTCTTCTTTCTTTCTTTCTTTCTTCTTTCTTTCTCTTTCTTTTCTTTCTTTCCTTTCTTTCTTTCTTTCTTTCTTTTCTTTCTTTTCTTTCTTTCTTTCTTTCTTTTTCTTCTTTCTTTCTTTTCTTTCTTTCTTTTTCTTTCTTTTCTTTCTTTCTTTCTTTCTTTCTTTCTTTCTTTCTTTCTTTCTTTCTTTCTTTTTCTTTCTTTCTTTCTTCTTTTCTTTCTTCTTTCTTTCTTCTTCTTCTTCTTCTTCTTCTTCTTCTTCTTCTTATTCTTCTTCTTCTTCTTCTTATTCTTCTTCTTCTTCTTCTTCTTCTTCTTCTTCTTCTTCTTCTTCTTATTCTTCTTCTTCTTCTTCTTCTTCTTCTTCTTCTTCTTCTTCTTCTTCTTCTTCTTCTTCTTCTTATTCTTCTTCTTCTTCTTCTTCTTCTTCTTCTTCTTCTTCTTCTTCTTCTTCTTCTTCTTCTTTTTCCTCTTCTTCTTCTTCTTCTTTTTTTCTTTTTCTTCTTCTTCGTTTTCTTTTTCTTCTTCTTTTCTTCTTCTTTTTCTTTCTTTCTTCCTCTTCTTCTTTTTCTTTCTTTCTTTCTTTCTTTCTTTCTTTCTTTCTTTCTTTCTTTCTTTCTTTCTTTCTTTCTTTCTTTCTTTCTTTCTTTCTTTCTTTCTTTCTTTCTTTCTTTTCTTTCTTTCTTTCTTTCTTTTCTTTTCTTTCCTTTCTTTCTTTTCTTTCTTTCTTTCTTCTTTTCTTTTTCTTTCTTTCTTTCTTTCTTTCTTTCTTTCTTTCTTTCTTTCTTTCTTTCTTTCTTTCTTTCTTTCTTTCTTTTCTTTCTTTCTTTCTTTCTTTTCTTTCTTTCTTTCTTTCTTTTTCTTTCTTTCTTTCTTCTTTCTTTCTTTTCTTTTCTTTCTTTCTTTCTTTCTTTCTTTCTTCTTCTTCTTCTTCTTCTTCTTCTTCTTCTTCTTCTTCTTCTTCTCTTCTTCTCTTCTTCTTCTTCTTCTTCTTTCTTCTTCTTCTTCTTCTTCTTCTTCTTTCTTCTTCTTCTTCTTCTTCTTCCTTGTGAAAGGCTGACAGGCACCTCATGTTGTTTGTGTGACACCTATGCTGGGATAGCCATGCCTTTCGGCCCAACATTCCATGTCAGCAAATCCGCCATTAGTCGCCTTGAACCAGATGTTGGTGAGGGAAAAGTGACTGTCTCCCCTCCCCCTTTGCTGAACCCATGAAGATGCAACAGGACTACTGTTAGAGTGCTTACCTGTAGAAATGGTGGTCTGGGTTTAATCCCCATACTTTGTCACATTTGTTCCAAAGAAAATGCCTCCCCCCCCCCCCCCACACACTACAATTCTCTATCCCTTACCTAGGGTCCAGCCGCCGTGGTGTAGCGGCTAGATACTCACCTACGGATCAGATGGTTGTAGATTCCGGTCCTAATGGAACTGGACCTTTCTCAAAAATGAAATTGGCTTCCAGGACGACCCGCGTCCCAGATGGGTACCAGGTAAAGTTCTGGGAACCAGAACCAAGCGCCGACTGGTCTATAAAATATACGTCTAGCCCTTTATGCTCAATACACCCGACGGCGTGGAAAAAGAGTCCTTTTTACTTACCGTAAGAATACAGGGCTGCAAACACTCGGTCAGTCACTGCTCGAAAATGCCCACAGTGAGGAAGAACCACTATAAGTAGACTCAGCACAAATACAACGACAGACAAGTCCACAGTCACCAACCTTGAGCTTCAAGTCCTGCTCTTGACGCCGAATGATCTGGGCGCGTTGGTCCTGCGCCGAGATAAGTTCCCGCTGAAGAAGGACCTTCCGGCTCAGCTGCTCTAGACGCTCCTGCAGAACCTCCGCTCGCACCTGCTCCCAGATATCCGCAATGACTTCTAGTCTCTGGGGAGACGACAGTGGCAAAATAATCAAACAATGACGGTGGAACATGGTAGATTAGAGCAAAGCATGTTGTGCTGTGTAGGGGAACGTGTTAGAAGATCGAAGGAGTGAGTGTTACACAATCCTTTACCTGCAGAATTTCACAGCAGTATTTTTTTTAATAACCATTTTACACCAACAAGCCACCAAAAAAGTAAAATCAATGACTCTCTTCTACGCCATTAGGTGGACTGGGCATATAAGGCTGGAACTATATTTTATAGACCAATCGGTGCTCAGTGGGTAGGTAATGTGCTTAACGGCCGCCTTTACTTTACATGACTACACCTGGTATCCATTTAAGGCTGTATCCACCTGGCAAAGAAAGTCATTTCTTAAAAAAAAAACAGTCCCTGTCCCGCTTCGCCATGACATGGATTCAAGACCTTCGGACCCGCAGGCGAGCGTCCAGCAGCTACACCGCGACGGCTCCTGGTCCTCCTTCACCTGACAGCTAACCAAATATAGACACCCTCTCCTCCCCATCCCAAGCAGACAGTTTATTTTAAATCCCATGTCTCCAAATTACTATTTTCAGCTATTGCCACATTCTCTCCTGCTCAAAGGTAAGAAAATCCTATATACGTTGCTGGAGCGTTGTTTCTGGTAGACGAGGTGTTGCAATAAAATACAATCGATTTCGCTGCTTGGTTCATGTTACTGACATGGCTGAGAAAGTCGTTAGTTAAACTTTCCACAGCTTAGTTTTCAATACCGGTGCCATATGAACAATGGTCCTCTGAACAGTGGTGTCCTAAAGCGGTATAGCCTTCAGGTTTGTAGTTGTCGCTTGAATACCTACATTGTCTCGTGCGACATCTAAGATGTAAGGCTATGCTAACTTTGCAACAACATTATGGTGAGTCCGCTATTATTCCAGAGAGATACTGGATAAGAATGTCTGGATAATCGTTGGTCTCAACTGTTATGACAGAAAAGAAAAAAAAAAAATTGCGAGGATTAAAAAAAAAAAAACTTTTCAAAGCTGGTGGTCAGAAATACCTGCCAGATTTGGACAGCACACACAAGCTAGGAACGGAATGGAGAAATATAATGCCAACCTTTTCTAACGTGTAACAGCACATAAAGATGATGGTGTAAAAAGCATCGACGGTGTTTTCCTTTAAAAAAAAAAAAAAAGACAATCTTGTATAAATGTGTGCGCCAAACGGCGCCTTCAGGCGAAATCTTCTATATCAGCTTTTCATGTACATTTTCAGGACAGTCAATTTGGGTAGGGTTTAACTTACGAACACCCCGAAAATCCGGCCGGAGCTTTTTTTTTTCCGGTTAGGTCTTATTTTCGGGGACTTTTGGATACATGTGTTCTTGTTGTCTCACCATTCCTCTCTTAGCAAATAATTTCCAACAAAAATACAACTTATCTTCCTGTTGAAATACGCAATATGACATAACGACATGTAATTGGGCACTCAAAAGAGATACACAAAGAAGGAGGAAAATTTGCAGGCGCATAAGAACAAGTTAAACAAAAAACAAAAACAAAAATAACCTGAAATGTTATCTAACTGAACGTCTAACTTAAGGGTTCTCAAATTATGAGATTTTGTTTATCTATAGCATCATTCGTTGGCGATACAACAATCTAGTCAACGCCAAAAATGAAAGCTTGACAGTTAATAGAGATGATTACGTAAACAATACTGACTCGCACTCAAATGAAGGAAATAAAACAGATAAAAGTGGACATGTTATGCCAGTGTTTGATACCTATAGGTTTCCCAGGATCCGGTCTGTAGGGGCAGCTGAATATGGTACGGGAAAAATGATTACTGTCATGAACGCAAACTCCAGGGAACTGGTTCTCAAACATCTCACATCTCAGGACCCTTCTTATTGTCAAAGCTCTGCAACCGACCTCCATTCTTTTTTACTAGTCATACTCAAGAACAGATGGTAATTTTTAAATACTGATAATACAAGCAGAAAAGTTCCCCAGTATGCCAGATCACCAAAAGAAAGAAAATATTTCAAAACCTAGCAATGGAACGGTTGAAAAGAAGCAACTTTATACACCAAACAACAAGAATGTGCGGACAAACTACGGACTTTCCTGAATGAGGAATGAGAGAGGTCATCAGGTGGCAGGGAAAGGTGCGCAAAATAACGGCCTCAAGTACTAGTCACATACTACATGTACTATTCACATACCGCATGTACTAGTCACATACCAAATGTACCGGTCATATACCGCATGTACCTGTCACATACCGCATGTACCAGTCATATACCGCATGTACCAGTCACATACCGCATGTACCAGTCACATACCGCATGTACCAGTCATAGAAAATCACCAGCCCCAGCACAAGACGACTACGAATTATGGACAGATCATATATATATATATATATATATATATATATAATATATATATATATATATATATATAATATATATATATATATATATATGTGTATATATATATATATATATATATATATATATATATATATATATATATATATATATATATATATATAGAGAGAGAGAGAGAGAGAGAGAGAGAGAGAGAGAGAAGATTTACCCCACTGCACTGAAGTCAGTCTAGTGGGCTTGAAAGAGTAGCTGAGCATACAAAGATGACCTCCCTGTATACAACGTTAAAGTCACTGCCGAGAATCGAGTCTAATAGGAAATGGCATATCGCCCTAGGAGTCTGGATATCCTGGATTCCCCCAAACATAGTTTGGGGTGGTTGGGGCTGGGGTGGGTTGGGGTGAGTTGCCCCACAATAACAGAAGGCTCCCCACCCCTCCCCCCCCCCCCCCCAGAAAAAAAAAAAAAACCTCGTAAAGAAGCATCTCTCCTTGAGTTTTTGTTGGCACATATATTATTATATACATACATCATTTTTTATTTGAAACATAGACTGTTACATAAATATATATAAGTCAGCATATTACTAATATAATTATCATTTTAATCACCTAAGAGGCCTTATGTCACTTGAGGCCCCTCCTTTTCCCCCAAACATGTGTAAGGAAAGTTGAGGACCTCCAAAGTCTTTGTGACGGCGCCTGCGTTGCCAAACCACTGCTCTCCCTGTGTGCCCAAAAGCCAAAACTAACGAACCTCGACCTTAATGTATTGTTCATTTACACACCATAATTCCCTTGTCCCATTTTGATCCCGTCACCCCAAACTTTATCACCGCGGGATCTAGCCAACAGCCCGCACAACATACGTCTGCCGAAGATGTTCGATCTATCATTTACATCTCCAATATTGCAAGTGTACGTACGGTGAACCCTGCAACCCTCTTGGCAGGTTCTCGAACGTAACCACCATAAACACCAAGGAATTACGATGACGCCTTGCCAGCCTGATGTGTCCCCAAGATACAGCCCAACGTGTCGCCGTTAAATTAGGAACCTGTTAGGGTTGAACCGCTAACATGCGAAAGGGAACAAGATTGCATCCATTTCCTTCGCTACTGTCCAAAAATGCCCTGGTCTCTCATATCTCCTGAACTGTTTGGCTCTGTTTTCTTCTTGCAGTTTTTTTCTTTCTTTGTTTCTCTTTTTTTTTTTTTTTTTAGAAATATACATATGGGTGTATCTGACGGTTTGGCAAGCGCTGAAAACAATCTGGACTTTTGAACTTAAATGTTTCCTAACACTTGATAGCATATCGTGAACACAGACGAAGAAAACTAGCGACTGTCTGCAAGACTTAACTTGGAGGGAGGGAAGACGTTTAATGAAAGACAGCTCACAACTGGTGTAAACTATAATACTTTGGTTATATTAATGGTCAGGTGACCTCGGAGTGAAGCCTGACGAAGCAGGTCAGTGCCGTCTTGAAGACTTCTTCCCGTCTTAGCGTTCACCGGCTGTAAACTCCGGCAAACAATTCTGGTTGTTTGCCTACATCTGGACTTTTGCTTCTAGACTTGTGGTTCCTTGCCTCTCAGGCGGATGCTCTCCACGTTCGAAGAAACCACAATTAGTCGCCTTTTACGACACGCTGGCTGAGAAGGGGGTGTGCGTGTATTTATTTTGTCCAAAATAAAGACCCTGAACCGAGATGGTAAGTCTATGAGGCCAAGGTAGCAACAATTAGTAGACGCGTCTTAGGATGGCTCTCTAAAGTAGGAAATGCCCAATATACACTGACGTCGAAAGTGATATCATAACAAAATCAGCAGAGCTGTTAAAAAGAACAGTAATCGAAGGCATGCGAAAGAAAGAAAGAAAGAAAGAAAGAAAGAAAGAAAGAAAGAAAGAAAGAAAGAAAGAAAGAAAGAAAGAAAGAAAGAAAGAAAGAAAGAAAGAAAGAAAGAAAGAAAGAAAGAAAGCCCAAAGCAAAAAGACATGCTGACCCCAGAAGCTCAGGCGAGGAATCTCATGAGTAAATGAGACGGCCACTGTGACTTAACAGCTGGCATACATAAGGGATGCCAAGCTGTTCGTCCTTGTGTTTCAAAGAAACTTAATCAGCTAACAGCCAATACATCCCTCTCTCTCCTCTCTCTCTCTCTCTCTCTCTCTCTCTCTCTCTCTCTCTCTCTCTCTCTCTCTCTCTCTCTCTCTCTCTTTCGCTGTCACTGTGAGTCTGTGTGTGTGTTCAATATGTCCCTGTGTGGCTTAATATCCCGCCACTCTCCTCTCTGTCGCTCTCTCTCACTCTCTCTTTCGCTCTCACTGTGAGTCTGTGTGTGTATGTATCAATATGTCCCTGTGTGGCCTCATATCACTCTCTCTCCGTGTCAGTTAACTATTCTGAAGCCCAGTTTCTTTCTCACTCTTCCTGTCTATATTATGTATCTCTGTCAATATGTATGTAGCCTCTCTCTCTCTCTTTCTCTGTCTCTCTCTCTCTCTGAGTCTGTGTGTCAACCAATATAGGTCCTATTCACGTTTTCCGGCCCATCTACACACTGGCTGACCTCACATTCTTACTGTCTCAGACTGTTCTACGTCAGAGGGATGTCGTGT